ATGGAACACATCAACATCAGGAAAGGCATTACCACCCATTCTGTCCCTGTCCACTGCAATTCATGTCCTATGTTCAACTGGAGGGATTTTCGTGGTATGGGTATTGAACAGGTATCTTCCCATTGGAGGGGGGTGATAGATAATTAAAACTATTCCAAAGAGAGACATACTGGATATATCAACTAGATACTCTAGAACACAAGGGTATGAACGTAGACGTGGGTCTGGTCTGTTTTATGTCTTAACTCACCGTGGTTGATGGTTTTCACTACACCCTCCTATTCATAAGTTTTCTGTTTCTTTGTTTTTTATTTGTCCATATTTCTATTGCAAACCTATGACCAACTTGCCATTTATATAGCAAGAATTTGGTATATATGTCTTATCTAAGAGACCACTTATATGGTGGATATTTCTTATATATGTAATTATTTTTATATTATCCTTTAAGATTATTTTTTCATTCCAATATACTCCTTAAGGTATAATATGTACCACATACAGTCAATAATTTCGTGATTACTTCAGACATATACTAAAGGCATTGTACAGTGAGAGACTGTTTTCTCTATTTTATGTGAAATATGTTTTCTATGTACTATCTAATAAGCAATTGTCATACTTTCTCCACATTTGAAGATCTAACAGTTATCTACACTACTGCTATATATGTAGTTGGAGTGTACTTGCAACACATGTTGACATAGGAATGGAACGCAAATGGTGTTTAGGACTCTCAAACAGGAACCATCCCGTGGAACGCACAAGCCGTCCTGTGGAACGCAAGTCGAAAGAATTCGGCGAAGACGCAGGAAATTTTACGAACAATTGAAAACATCTGAGAAGATAACACATGAGGACTTATGAGGAAAGCTGGTCCCCGCATTAACGAATTGGCACAAAATCTTTCCACCTGGAGGACCCTTCAATCAACATCACTGGATCAGTGTATTTAAATGGGACTGAGGTAGGGTTGGGATTATGCATGTTTTTTATTCATTTATTGCTGTTCACTTACATCTCTGAGCAAGTCCATTGTTAGTGGGCAAAACGTGTTGGATTTTTTATTTATACTTTTTTATTTGTTTTTACTATATACTTTTAATCAGGCGTTTTATGCCTAATAAATACCAGATTTGTACCTGATCCCTGACTCCGTCCTTTCAAGTTCCTGTGCCTGCTGACTATCCATTACTACCTAAGGTGGAGAGCGGACCATTGTAGCTCTGTTCTGCACTTTGAAGCGCTTCTTGAATTTCCATCTTGTGAGTGCAATTCTATAAACTCTCATGTCTCACAGTAAATACTATACATCACTATGTATTGTTTGTTTTTATGTTTTAGAATCTAGCGCTATCCCAATCTTTGTATTATTCATCTGACACATCAGAGGCGTTAGTGGGGAAGGCCTCTTGGGAAGCTGTTTGTACCGTACTAAGCTAAGTACATTTATCCTACCCATCATTTGTTTTGTTGGGTGGTAGAGCACCTGTTTGTTTTGCAAAGAAAGAGAAGAACTGGATCAAGTGGAACAATATTCTTTGGAAATGCTTGGTTTGTCTGCTCTAGCTAATTGGACAGTTGTTCTCACAAATTATTTTCCCCAAAGATGCATTGAATAGACCTTTTACTAAAGCAAATACCCTTAGAAATTGGCTATATTTTTTTTCTGACAAAATTTTATGTTTTGTTGTAAGCTAATTGCAACTAAAGTAACTACACATTTGACACTTGGAGACTATAATGATTGGAAGAACCTTTCTCAAAATCTTTTGATTCCTAAAATGTCTATTTCTCATCTTGTCCTCGTCAGAGAATGGAATGAACGCTCTTGAAAACTTAGATCTGGAAAATAAACAGATTCTGCTTATTACAGATTTTTTGGCACCAGAAACAAAACATTGACAACATTTTGTTAAACGCCTCACAGGCTTAGTAAATGATCTTTGTCGTCTGTTCTTGACTTTCCAATGTAGCAGAGATATATTACACAGTGAAAATAATGCAAATTATCTCCAACTTGTGAAAATGCTCACCACATTTGATAAAGCTAAAGAGGAACAGCTGAGAATTTTTTTATTTTTTTTTAAATGCCAACATTATTTAGGGAAGGACATTCAAAACAAACTCATTCGCCTCATAGCGAAATAAATAAGACACATTTTGCAGTTATTGTAAAATGCTAAGTATTATTCTATTATACTTGATTGCATTCCAGACATTACTCTCACAGGAATAATAACTATAATTGTTCGATTTGCTTCCATCAAGGAAGGGAGTTTCCTACTGTTGAACCAGAGGTCTATATAGAAGAAAGATTTCTAGGTTTTATTAAAATCTAAAGTTCAATTGGAGAAGGTTTGACTGAGACATTTTTGACTGAACCTGAAAGACATAAGATTCTATTTGGTGATATGAGAGGACAAGGATATGAAAATGAATCCAATGTGAAAGGCAACCACTATTGCGTTCAGAAAAGAAACCTTGATTTAAACATGCTTTTTATGTTTCCCACCACTCTCATACTTTAAATACAGTGGTGAATGATGCAGCCGTGTGATGCAGAAACTTTATTTTCTGTTTGTTTTTGTTAGGATCCCCATTTCGTTGGAATGTCTTTTTAAAAAAAGCACATTGGCAGACTAACTGTAAAACCTTATCTGACAACCGATTATTTTCAAGAGTAGATGTGGTTCCAGGATGGGTAAATTTATGATGCTTTATCTTAAATGTCAAGGGATGACTCACACAAAACAGTGGGATGATCTAATGCTGAATCTCTTGCAGAAGCATTGCATAATTTTAAAATATTGTGTTTCAGTATTTACAGATATGTTATTGTGTTTCAGTATTTACAGATGAAAATGAAGGAAACGAACCTCAGTTAGGAAAAAGGACAAATGAGTCATTTGTTACATGTGAGTTTACAGAGGAAGAAGTTATATTTCAACTGTCTAAAGTAAAGACAAATAGGTCAATGGGGCCTGATGGAATACACCCAAAGTTATTAAAAGAGCTTAGTGCTGTACTAGCAAAACCATTAACAGATTTATTTAACCAATCATTACAGGAGTAGTCCCAGAAGATTGGAAGTTAGTGAATGTTGAACCCATTCACAAAAAAAGTAGTGGGGAGGAGTCGGTCAACTATAGGCCAGTAAGCCTTGCTTAGGTGGGGAAAGTAATGGAAACCATGTTAAAGCATAGGATTGTTGAACATCTAAAATTACATGGAGTTCGAGATCAGAGAGATCATGCCAAACTAATCGTATTAATTTTTTTTTATTGGGTAACTAAAATAATAGATGAGGTGCAGTAGACATTGCTTACCAAGATTTCACTAAGGCTTTTGACACTGTTGCACATAGAAGGCTTATCAATACACTGCAATCTTTAAGTTTGGATTCCAATATTGTTAAATGGGTAAGGCAGTGGCTGAGTGACAGGCAACAGAGGGTTGTAGTCAATGGAGTATATTCAAAGCATGGTCTTATCACCAGTGGGGTACCTCAGGGATCTGTATTTGGACCAATTCCCTTAAATATTTTTATTAGTGATATTGCAGAAGGTCTTGATGGTAAGGTGTGTCTTTTTGCTGATGATTCTAAGATATGTAACAGGGTTTATGTTCCAGGAGGGATAAGCCAAATGGCAAATGATTTAGGTAAACTAGAAAAATGGTCAGAGTTGTGGCATCTGACATTTAATGTTGATAAGTGCAAGATAATACATCTTAGGTGATTGAGTGTTGTATTTGTCCCTCAGGGAGGCATATCCACCTAGCAAAGCTAGTGGGTATGTGGCAGCCTCCTGGAGAAATATTTTGCCGCGCTAAAAACGCTTGTGCTGTGCTCCTGCACAGCAACAGCATTTAGCCAATCAGGTGATCAGGACAGCCGTGTAGCTCACGGCAGCACTGATCACCTCAGATTTTAAAATGGCAACGTTGATGGAGGACTCCATTTCTGTGTCTGCCACAGATATGGTGGATGTCTCTCCTAGAGACAGCCCCATCAACGTTAGAAGGCTCCATAAGAGAGCCTTCCTTGCCAGGGACATAGCCTCTTCATCTTCTGAGGAGAATATAGTCCCAGTTAATAAAAGAAAAAAGAAGGCTTGTCTTTCCTCTTCAAGTTCTGAGGATGAACTTGATTTTGGTCCCTCTTCCCTTCATTCTCGTTTGAGTAGTCAACGTTTTAAAGGGACAGTACCTCCAAAAGCGAAACGTGCTTTTCCCTCGTTTGAGGTTTCAAAGCAGTTTTCTCACAAAAGGGACAAGACTCGTTTGAGTCCTGACAGTCCCTCACAGTCCGTTTGCTCATTCATCCTGATTGGGAGTGCGAGGAGGTGGTTCGCTCTGCAGCTTCCACAGGGAAGTTGAGCAACATTCAGATGGACAGAGTGAACCTTTTAGGTAAAGTGCTCTCTTCAAAATTATTCCATTCAAGATGGAATGCACCTTTCTTGAAGCCTTGGCTCATGCTTGCGGGAAGGAATACCGACACTCTGGAGATTGCTATAATCACTTACTCCCCAGAGTAAGCTCTTGTAAGAGCTTGATTTGTTCCTGCTACGCTCTCTGAATTTAGGAGAGGTTCGTCCACTGGGAGCTAGATCCTGGTTGTGGATCCAGGGTGGGTGAGAGACGGCGAGACCCCGGCGCAGCTGCATCGCTGGAAGTTGGGTTCACAGTGCTGATGGTGTCGGTTGGAGTGCTCGGAGTCCTCTGCAAGCGCTAGGAGCATCGATTGGCGGAGGTACTCAGTCAGAGTGCCAGCGGTCTGCCACACTGAGGTTTATTGTAAATCTGCAAAAATCCATACTAGTCCCTACTCAGAATATCCTATTTCTGGGTTTCATGATGAACACTATGGATACCCTTGGGTGTTCCCCGAGACAAATGGGACAAATCCCATCTATTCTGATGAAGGTGTTAGAGAAACTTTGCAGGGACAGGGTGACCAATCTGGTTTTAGTGTACCCCATTTGGACCCCCGGACCATGGTACCCCCTGATCCAACCTCTAATCAGGGGACCAAAGGTTCCATTAGACTGGACAGCAGATTGCTTCCTAGGGACCAGGGATCTCTTAACCAAGCTCCCTCAACTTATGTGGATGGCAGCCCTGGTAGGCTTTTAACGCATCCTCTTCTGTCTGACTGGGTTTTAGATATATTTAATTATTCATTACGGCGCAGGACCAGGGTAAGATACAAACAGATGATCGAGGAATTTAAAGCATGGGAAGTTTCCTTTAATTCCCTTTCCCATGAATCTGACACAATTTCCTTAGCTTTGGAATTCCTTACGCTCAAATATCATCCAGGGTTAGCAGTCAGTGCGATTAAGACGTATAGTTCTGCATTAAATTTTCTAATCCCCAATCTGACCCAAGACGCCCTTTACCTCAGGTTACTCAAAGGGCTATACGTCTGCCGGCCTTCTACTCTGAGATACACTTCCACTTGGGGTGTGGACCTTTTATTAAACTACCTTAATTCTTTGGTCAATGACCAGATTGACCTAAAATGGACGGCGATTAAATTGGCATCCCTTCTAGCTTTAGCTCTGGCAGCTAGAGGCTCAGAATTAACCCAGCTAAATATTGTCGATCCATGGTTGTCCCGAACTCCTGGGGGATTTCATGTCATCCTTAAAGGGAGACAGAAGACTTCCCATATTTTCCTGTAGAACTAGATTTGGTGCAGGATTCTGCTGAGCCGAGTTTATGCTTAGTTAATTTGTTAAATTCATACTTGAATCTTTCTGCCCCAGTCAGACAAGACTTTATGCAATTACTTATCACCTCCAGAAAACATTTTCGGCCAGCTAAGGTTAACACAATCAGGGGTTGGATACTGTTCGCTATATTTGCAGCGGGTATTGATGTCACGGTTTTTAAGGGTCATTCTATCAGAGGGGCCTCCGCTTCAAAAGCAGCAGCGAGAGGCCTCCCTCTTCCTATTATCCTTAAAGCTGCAAGATGGTCTTCCAGTAAGACTTTCGTTAAGTTTTACTGGAGGCCAACTGAAGTGGAACGTTTACAGTTCCTTAGGACCACCACCAGGTGCGTGCTATTCAACCCACTAGCTTTCCTAGGTGGTTATGCCTCCCGGAGGGACAGACTAGAGTTTGCAGGAATCGATGACCTGCAAACTTTCTTTGTCCTAGGGATAAGCATAACCACATAGCAAAGAGCCCATCCCTCCCTCCCCAGGTTTATTTCTATTGCCTGGTGGTGGCAGGGTATTTCTCTGGTTTGGGAATCTTCTAATTAAAGTAATTTTGTGTGTGTTTTCTTTTTCACTTATATTTATTTATATTTATTCTGTTTATCTTTACAGATGACAACCGGCTACCCAGACAGGATCACCAAGCCAAGGACCCTCCTAAATAGTTCTGGAGGTTAAGAAACTTCTTCCAGAAGCTTTTTGATTATGAGTTATACTATACTAATATTTCTGTCAGCGACTGTTTTGTTTTTTACCTTCATGATCAAAGATTGTTTTGTTACATTTTCATATGTTACTATTAACCCCTTAAGGACGGAGCCAAATGTACACGTTGTGAACAAAACAAAATGTAAACAAAACCTGGCATTTGCGCTACATGTCTGTCCAACCGTAATACACCTCTTTCATAGTAAATGCACCCACCCTTATTATATATCATTTTATTCAGGGGAAACAGGGCTTTCATTTAATATCAAATATTTAGCTATGAAACATAATTTAATATGAAAAAATGGGAGAAAATAAGATTTTTTTTTTTTTTTTAGTTCTACATGACATTTTAACTGTCAATGTCATAATACTGTTTGCTTTTACTGCAATAAAATACACATATTTGTATTCAGCAAAGTCTCACGTGTAAAACAGTACCCCCTATGTACAGGTTTTATGGCGTTTTGGGAAGTTACAGGGTCAAATATAGCACGTTACATTTGAAATTGAAATTCGCCAGATTGGTTACGTTGCCTTTGAGACTGTATAGTAGCCCGGGAATGAAATTTACACCCATAATGGCATACCATTTGCAATAGTAGACAACCCAAGGTATTGCAAATGGGGTATGTCCAGTCTTTTTTAGTAGCCATTTGGTCACAAACACTGGCCAAAGTTAGCGTTAGTATTTGTTTGTGTGAAAAATGCAAAAAAACGCCAATTTTGGCCAGTGTTTGTGACTAAGTGGCTACTAAAAAAGACTGGACATACCCTGTTTGCAATACCTTGGGTTGTCTACTATTGCAAATGGTATGCCATCATAGGGGTAATTTTCATTCTTGGGCTACCATAGGGTCTCAAAGGCAACGTAACCAATCTGGCGAATTTTAATGTGAAAAAAATGAAACGCAAGCCTTATATTTGACACTGTAACTTTTGAAAACACCATAAAACCTGTACATGAGGGGTACTGTTGTACTCGGGAGACTTCGCTGAACACAAATATTTGTGTTTCAAAACAGTAAAAAGTATTGCAGCAATAATATCATCCGTGTAAGTGCTGTTTGTGCGTGAAAAATGCAAAAAACTTCACTTTTACTGGCGATATCATTGTTGTAATACATTTTACTGTTTTGAAACACTAATATTTGTGTTCAGCGAAGTCTCCCGAGTAAAACAGTACCCCCAATTTACAGGTTTTATGGTGTCTTGGAAAGTTATAGGGTTAAATATAGTGCTAGCAAATTAAATTCCCTATACTTTCGGCATGGGTTGTCAGGCAGGTCCGCTAATTGTAATTAATTAGGATACCTAATTATGTAAAAATATTACATAAATATATGTGTAGAATTAATATATGTATATATATACATATGTGTATATATACATATATATATATATATAATTTTTTAAAATATTTTTATTTATATATAGGTGTATATATTTAGTGATATATATGTATATATTTATGTATATAGATATATATTATTTCGTTCTACATGTATTTTGATATAAATATATATATATTAATATCACAATACAGTTAGAACGAAATAACAAACATCTATATATTTTTTATTATTTATTTTTAATTATTTTTTTAATTTTATTTTTTTTACGTATTTACATTTTTTTATATTATATATAAATATATATATATAACAATAATTATATATATATATATTTAATCAGTATTAGTCTACGTGTAATTTGATAGTAATATATATATAAATAATTATATATATTAATATTTAAATACACTTCGTGTATGTGTAAATGTGTGTGTGTGTGTGTGTATATATATATATATATATATATATATATATATACTTAGATCATATATATATAATATATATGATCTAAGTATATTTTATATTAACTGTAATTTTTTTTTTTACTAATATTTTATTTTTTTTACAGGAGAGGGGGCAGAGACAGTGTCAGCCAGTGATTTTACATCACTGGCTGACACACAGAATCAGTGATCACAGTGACTGCCTGTCACTGTGATCACCTCCTGCAGATTGGGTAATTGGCCACAGGGGGGAGTGCCTGGGTGGTACAAGCACTCCCCCCTTCCAATCTGCAGGGGGATCTTTGTGCCAGTTACATGTGTCAGCCAATAGGCTGACACATGTAACACTGATCGCAGTGACAGGCTGTCACTGCGATCAGAGCGCTCTGAGATCGCAGTGACAGCCTGTCACTGCGATCTCAGACAGTGCAGATCGCGGTCACTGACCCCAGGGGGACTGCCTGGGGGGCCAGGTAAGTCCCCCGACCGCGATCTGCACGGGGAGAGCCGCTGGCCACGTGTGTCAGCCGATTTGAAATCGGCTGACACACGTTAAAAACTGATCGCAGTGACAGCCTGTCACTGCGATCAGTGACTGCAGATCGCAGTCACCGGCCACAGGGGGGGTTGCCTGGGGGGCCGGGCATCCCCCCCGACCGCGATCTGCAGCGGGCGACTAGCGCCGGCCACATGGGCGGCCATTAAAGTGAGGGCGTACTATTACGCCCGCCGGCGTTTAGAGCCAGCTCCTGCAGGGCGTAATAGTACGCCCTCCGTCCTTAAGGGGTTAACTGTCAGTATTTCAGAAATGTTTCTTATTTATTGTTACTTTATTATATTGCCTTTCCACTCTGATATAACCCTTTCATAGGAGTAAGTTCATGTTTGGTTGAGTAAATAAATCATTGTTACCTCCCCTTACATTGTCAGTGGTGCTCTTTTCCTTTATTGTGTTTAGTACCATGTACATTGATATCTATCCTACATTAGGGTTTTTTTTTGTCTCTGTATGTGTCGGGATCCCGCGGGCGGCTACAAGGGGAGGCTGCACTCCGCTCGCGGTACTCACCCTCCAGCCGTCCGCGGTCCCCTCCTCCTCCTGGGCTCGGTGAGCGGCATCCTTCCAGCCTCGGATGCTGCCCGCGTTTTCCTCCACGTCCCCCAGCGGCAGCATGCATGACGCTGCACGCTGGGAGACCGCCCAAATTATTACACGCCGGAGTCAGTCACCTGACCCGGCGTTAAAGTGCCTCAATCACAGTGGGAGGTTTAGATATCTCCCACGTGTGATTGTTAATTCTGATTGGAAATTATCCAATCAGAATTAACCTTATGGTTTAAATACTTACCTTTCCTGTTCCTCCCTGCCCTGTTGTGGTCTTTGCTTACTAGTATTGCTACTTAACTTGTGGTTCTGGTTACGTACTCTCTGGCTTGTTTATCTGACTCTGTGACTTTCTCCTACCCTTTGACCTCGGCTTGTTTCACGTTATTCTGTCTTCTGGTTCCCCTTACTCGGCTTGTCTCCTGACTATTCTGTGTGTGCTTAGCCCGGCCACTCTAAGGTCCGGTACGGCACATTTTCTGTGTGTGTGTGTGTGTGTGTGCCAGCGTGTTGGGTTCCCCGAATCGTGACCGTATGAGTTAACCATCTGCAGTTCCCAGATTTTAAAATCTGAGGTGACCAGAGCTGCCGCGAGCTACACAGCTGTCCTGATCACCTGATTGGCTAAAACACTGTTGCTGTGCAGGAGCACAGCACGAGCGTTTTTAGAGCGGCAAAATATTTCTCCGGGATGCTGCCACATACCCACTAGCTTTGCTAGGTGGTTATGCTTATTCCTAGGACAAAGAAAGTTTGCAGGTCATCGATTCCTGCAAACTCTAGTGTGTGCTAGTTGAATGTTATGTATGTGGAAAAGGCTGTGTGTGCTGGTAAAATTTTATGTGGAGTTGTCTGAGTGTTGGGTGCGTGGAGGTGGCAAAATTTACCTGTGTGTGCTAGTTGAGTGTGTGGAGGTAGGTTTTTCTCTCTATCAGTCCCCTTGTGTTTCTCTCTTTATCACCCCCCACCAGTGGCGTACATACCAGGGTCGCAGGGGTCGCGGCTGCGACCGGGCCCGGCCGATCAGGGCGCCCGACCGCCCCTGCGACCCGGTATGTACCCACAGGGCCAGCCTCTTCCCCTGGGGGGCCCAGGAGCTGGCCCTGCTGACACCCGGCGAGGCTGAGGGCACTCAGTGCTTCTCTTCAGCTCTCGCGCGCACTGATGCGGGCGGGAAGATCCGTCTCTCCGGCACCTGTGAGGGAAGAAGGAAGCACTGAGTGCTCCCTCGCCGCGCCCGCCCTTGACCGGCCGCCGCCCAGGAGCCCAGCAGCACCACTGGACCCAGAATCCCAGCACTCCAAAAGGTAAGAAGGCTGGGGGGATTAAATTTAAAAAAAAAAAAAAA